TTACAGTGGACGAGAAACTGGAACTGAGTCAACAGTGTGCCCTTGTTGCCAAGAAGGCTAACGGCATATTGGGCTGCATTAGTAGGAGCATTGCCAGCAGAACGAGTGATTATTCCCTTCTGTTCGGCAATGGTGAGGCCACATCTGGAATATTGGGTCCTGTTTTGGGCCCCCACTACAGAAAGGATGTGGACAAATTGGAGAGAGTCCAGCAAAGGGCAACGAAAATTATTAGGCGCCTGTGGGACATGACTTACGAGGAGAGGCTGAGAGAACTGGGCTTATTTAGTCTGCTGAAGAGAAGAGTGACGTGGGATTTGATAGCAGCCTTCAACTACCTGAACGCGGGTTTCAAAGAGGATGGAGCTAGGCTGTTCTTAGTGGTGGCAGATGACAGAACAAGGAACAATGGTCTGATGTTGCAGTGGGGGAGGTCTAGGTTGGATATTAGGAAAAACTATTTCACTAGGAAGGTGGTGAAGCACTGGAATGGGTTACCTGGGGAGGTGGTGGAATCTCCATCCTTAGAGGTTTTTATGGCCGGGCTTGACATAGTCCTGGCTGGGATGATTTAGTTGGGGTTGGTCCTGCTTTGAGCAGGGGGTTGGACTAGTTGAACTCCTGAGGTCTCTTCCAATCCCAATATTCTATGTTTTCTAAATATGAACAAATATCCTTTGCAGAATTACCACAAACCAACCAAATCTTAGTATCCCCATTACGTGTCAGCCACAGAATCACATCCCTGCTAGAGCTCTAAAATATCATCTAGCAAAATCATCACTATTAATTATTAGTTAAGCTCCGGCAGTAAGTGCAGTGGTCCACTTGGAACATCAGTGATAATACTTGATAATAGTTTTGCACTTCAGTAGTACCTTTCATGCAAGACTCTTACAATGCTTTTACAGACATGAATTAATTAAGCCGCTCAATATAGCTACCATGGGAAGCTGGTAGTTTTATATGTTATTTTACAGATGGGTATGCTAAATGCTCCTCAAGGACACTGAGGAGTTAGGTGAACTGGCCATGGTCAAAGACAGAGACAGTGATGGAGACCAATGAAATAGATCCTCTACCCTCAAGAGTAAAATAAACCCTGACATCTAATTTAAGGAGGAGATGTGATGACTACAACAAAGGTGGTACCTCTGCCCATTCAGTTACCAATAGCAGACCAATAACGAGATCCACCTATATAACTAGAGTAACACATCCCCTGCAATAAGCCAGTGGTGTGAGATGGTAGCCATTAAATCTTGAGCCAGCCCAGAAGAGCTATTGTACACAAAAATGTTAAAGTAATCTAGAACAATAAGCATGGGCAACCCCAGTGTCATGGGTGGATGGGAATTCTGATGAAGTAGAGTTTACACTGTAAGTATTCTCATCTTAAACCTATCCCCAAATTCCCCAAACAGGATAGAATATGTTACATGAAGAATGTAAACCCCTAAAATTTAGAAACAAAATAAAGATAAAAATAGATACTTAATGGAGTGAACTAATGATACGTTCTTCAGTACAACAAGTACAGAAACAAAAAGTTTCACCTAGTAAAAAATATTCAGGCATCTTCAATATTTGAAATTTCACTTAAATGTTTGTTTCTAGCAAATATCCAACAGATTTACATCGCTGAAGTGTTTCAGGTTGACCCACTTAATTTTAATATTCCAAATGATGTGCTATAATTACTACATAAAATAAATATCTTTCTCATGCATGAATAGAGAAAAATCCTGTGATATATTACAAAAACAGAACATCAGCAAAAATATAAATTTAAAATTATGGGCATATTTCTGTTCTCTCCTGAGAAGAAACACAAAAATCAGGCAACTTTGCATCAAAGCTACAGAAATGCCTAGAAACACCATAAAACTGCATACAAATAAATAAATAAATATGACAAACCGTATGCTTGCAGGTAAAACAAGTGTTCAGAGAGCTGTGTAATAACAATAATCATAATAATTAACAAACTGATCCCTATTAACCTGCAATTTCTGGTATTCCTCAAAGGCTGTGAATATACAGTACTTAGATGAAACAGGATCTTCCTCATAAGGCTTGATAGGTAAACTTGTTTGAAATAGACTCAGTCAAAATACATTACTGCTTAGGAACGCTGCCTTTGTCAGTGCTGAGGGAAGTAAAATAACAGTCACAATAATAAAAAATGTTCTCAGTTGCCTCTATCCTTAGAAAATGTATTATTATTGAGATATACATGTTAACTGAGACTGTTTAAGCTCACAATGACACTGCTGTCAAATGGCTGAAATATTCGTTTGTACGCAGGTCTTTGTACCTACATCTTGTCTTTCATTGTCACAGAAAGGAGATGGAGTTTCTCCTCCAGTGCACAAAGCCAAATTCTGCTTGTCTCCATATAAATTAATAAACAGTTAAATCTTATT